AACAGAACATTAGGACACAGGTTTGGGGAGCAATAACCTCCAAATGGGTAATGCCACCCACCGCCACTGAAGAGGAATTACTCAAGTCTATTTTTTAACAAGCAAAGAACCACTTATTAGACTTTTTTTTATTTTTAAAAATTCTGTAAAGGGGCTAACAACCTCCTTGTAAATGCCTCCAGAAAGGGAGGTGCTCTTTTAAAGCTGGTTTTACAGGGGAGGAAACTGAGGCACACAGGCGGAGATGGGTTCACAGGTCCGCACCCAGGTGGGCGGCAGCTGCCCGGGTAGAGCCGCGCTCGTGAAGCCCAGACCTGCGGCCTCGGGCTGAGACAACCACCGCCTACTGCTGAGACAGTCACTCCCATCCAGGTTCACGCGCCTGAGGTCAAACAACCTACCCAACCAGCCCGCCGGGCACCCAAAGGTCCGGGCTCCGGGACGAGAAGCCGAGAGGGGCCCGGTGTGAGGGACCAGGCAAGCTCCCGGGGTGACCGCCAGGCAAGGCGGGAGGGGTCTCCGGTGAGGGGCGGGGCAGGGTTCCCCGGTGCGAGAAGCATGGCGGGGGTTTCCTGGGTCCGGGATGAGAGCCTGCGGAGCCCCGCGGCCGGGCCGCTCACCTTCCGACAGCTCCAGCTCCAGCTCGGCCAGGCTCTCCCGCACTTCGGCGGGCAGCGGCACCGGCTCCAGCGGGCACCCGCGGTCGGCCATGGCCCCCTTGCTTGCTCGGGCCGCACCCCGCGATTGCCGGGACGGCTCGAGCCCGAGTGGGTCCGGGGTCAGGGTCGGGTCCGGGTCCGAGAACTGGCGCGGGAGGCGGCTACGTCGCTTCCCCTCAGCCCGGAGACCGGCATCGGCCCGGCGGGCAGCGGGGACGACAGTGCAGGGGCGCAGCCCGAGCGGCTCCGCACCGGCGCGGGTGCAAGCGCGGGCACGTTAGCAGGCGGCTCCTCAAGCGCCGCCGCCGCCCCGCGCGTCCCCGACAGCTCGGAGGGCCCTACACTGGAGCGCGCGTGCGCGATGGGACGGGCGGGAGGGGAGTGCGCGTGCGCATCAGGTCGCAGGCGGGGCTGGGAGCCTCGGGCCCGCCCAGCAACACTAATGACTGGCTCCCATTGGCCTCGACGATGCGGCGAGGTCGCTCCGAGCTTCCATTGGGAGAGGCGGGAGAGCGTTACTCCCGGGAGGCTCTGCGCCGGCCCGTAGCTTTGTGATCTGAGCCCTCGAAAGGCAGTGGGGGCGGACAAGTCCCTGGAACAAGGGTCTTAGGCTGGGGTGGCCCCTACACCTCGTCCTGTGCAGAACAAACCTGTTTTCTTGCTGTCACTTGGTCGTAGGGAACTTCCCATGAGACCACAGATGTGGACTGAACGAGACAGTAAAGTAGAAAATTCAGCACCCCGAAGACCACTCACTCTGGTCAATTACTTAACGCCTTCTGGATCTGTTCAAGCCCAGTTTTGTATATACTTGATCTGGACTGAATACTCCACTATCCCCAATTCACATGTTGAAATCCTATCTCCCAGTGTGATGGTGTTAGAAGGTAGGAGCTTTGGGAGGTAACTGGGATCAGATGAGGTCGTGAGGGTAGAGCCCTCATGAATGAGATTTGTGCCCACCTAGGAATCAGGAGAGAGCTTGCTTACCCTCTCTGCTGTCCTCCATATGAACATAAGTTTTCAACCCAGAAAAGGGGCTTCAGCAGAAGCCTCCAGAACTGAGAAAAATATATTTCTGTTGTTTATACACCACCCCAGGTTTGTGGTATTATAACATACTGTTTCGTTTTAAATGGAGTGCTGTTTACATCCAGTTGTATGACTTATGTATAGGCTATCTCCTCCCACAACAAGACTTGTACTTTATATGGATCCACAAGCACAGCGTCTGTCTCAGGTGCAATCGTAAGAGGTTTATATTCAGGCTCCCTTATCACTTTTTTCTCGATACCAATTAGAAAAGGTGATCAGTTGAATTTCAGCTACCAGAGACAGCAGTACACCTTCACTACCTTATCTTAGGGTCTTTGTTTAGACATCATAATATCATTTTGATCCATTACTTTAAAGATGTCATAGTAACTGGTCCTAGTGAGCAGGAAGTGGTAAGTACCCTAGAAGCCTTAGTAAAGTGAGTGCTGGATGGTGAGAGAAATCCATGAAAGATCAGGGGCCGGCCACTTTGGCAAAGTATCTAGGGGTCGAGTAGTCTATGGAATGTCAGGGTATCCCTTCTAAAGTAAAAGACAAGGAGCTACATACTGCACTGCCTAAAACCAAAAAAGACTCAACACTTAGCTTGTTTGGATTTTGGATACAACCATATTTGGGGGTGATATTCCAGTCTATTTACTGAGGACGCTGTAGGCTGTTAGTTTCAAGTGAGACCTGGACAGTAAGTTTCAATGATGCTTAAAGTTCCTTTGAAGTTAAGGACATGGATGGCACCCCAGTATAAAGCCCCATTAGGACAGACTTCAGGGGCCTTGACGCAAAGCTTTGCCTCCTGCTCATTCTCCATTTGAGAAACATCTGACCTACTCCTCAGTCTTGGGAGAAACCAAACTCCTACCCATGGGATACCAAGCACTATGCAACTCAAACTGCCAACGTACACTGGGTGCTGTCTGATCACCATCAACCAGAAGGAGCACATCTACTGGATAGTAGAAAGCCTACCTTCTGAAGACTCATTCGTGGTGCCGTTTCTCCCACAGCCACAGTGTATCAGCCTGGGAACCCAAAGGGTAAAGTCAGAAATGGTCCCTCTTAAAGGAGTTTTTGATTCCCATCCTATGACTTTGGGCTCTGCTGTCTCGAGGGAGAATGGCTTCCACCAGATATGACAATGGTCCCTTTAAACGAATTGAGACTCATCTAAACCAGCAAGCAATAATAGAGTTACTGTACTGGTCAGTGAGATTGATCCCAATTACCAAGGGGAAACTGGCTGGCTGGCACACGAGGACAGGAAAATCTGTACCAGTAATCTATTGTTTCACTGGGCACCTCTTGGTACTTAGTATTTCCAAGTAAAAGAAAATTCTCTAAAAACAAGACTATTGTCTCAAATCTTACAGAAAGGAAAACTTTAAGTTAACCACCCAGCCAAAGTGCTTACTAAGGTTCAGAAACAAGGACCAAGTGATGGAAGAAGGAGGTGATAAACATCAAATGGGGCCATGTGACTACTTATGGAAGCAGAGACGTAGCACTTTTTACTTTAGTGCCTGCCTTGGACACCCCCTTTCAGGTCACCTATTTTGTATGCCAGGCTAGGGTGTATGAATTGTATAAATCAGTCCTGAAGGAGTAGATGGCACCATTGAGATATAACACCTTGGGGGCCTTGGAGAGAGGGTGAAGAATATTTGCCTCGCATCAAGCAGGTACACTAAATTACATTCTGGTAAATAAATCCAGGCAGTTCAATTCAGCCTGCCTGCTGTACTCAAGCTGCCAACTGCTGCAAGGATTTCAGTTTCAGCAAATCAGGTAAAAGAGGCACAGAACTCAGGGGAAAAGATGAGAAGATTCTAAACAGTGACCTCATAGCAGTATCAGCTAATATGCAGAAAATGCAGACATGGACTAGTGTTGCAGGTTGAAAGAAAAAGCTATCACCGAAATAAAAGTGACTTAGGAAAAGTTTTTATATTAAAACCTGAGCCCAGCAGAATAAATGTCATGTTCAAAAGTCCTAAAAAAACACTGAGATGCTTATAAATATACTTGTATAGATTTCTGGATAAAGGATACTTGGCTAGATATCAGGTGGTACAAGTGCGTATCAGTAAAAGGTAAAAAGATTATAGGATCATAGTTTTGAGAAGTAGTACAGAGTGGCCGCCTTGTACAGAAGTAAAATGAAAAACCAAAATGAAGCAACAGGCAAGTGTCTCACTAGGTGAAAAGTACTTCTTGAATTCCATTGAAAATTTCTGACTTAAAGGAATTTAACATAAATTCTAAGTCTGTGTTTTTTGTTTTTCCAGTGATAAAAGCAAACTGAGTAAAAATAAAAAACAACACAAGGGCTATTGACAAATAAAATAGTGCTTTAATTATATTCTCTTTTTGTTTTTCTTTTGTGTTTTTATTTTTAAACCAAGTTTTTATCTGTACACTTTAAGAAAATAAAACAACAGGGAGCCATTCTCTGCTATCCATTTTGGAGGCAGGCAGGGTGGCTCTGCCAACATGCAAAGAAACGAGCAGGTGCCTGTCACTCATGAGCACACACATTACCTCATGAAGGTAAGGAGCTAAAACATACTGAAATTACATAAAAAATACTCATTTGGCATTATAGCAATGCACAAGGTGAGAACACTTAACGGCACTCTGGGGCTGGCATCTTGGGCACATTGAGGAAATCGGGCTCAGTACGCCATGCCACACCACAAGCTTTCCTTAGAAAAAGGAAAAAGTGAATCTTTTCCTCAAGTAGAACTGCCACAGGTAGGAGCCACAAGGACTTTATTCATTGTTTAATCTTCTGGCGGCAGGATTTCTTTGAAGTGGAATCTAAATAAAAAGGAAAATGATGTTGTAATTTGTTAGAAGGCTTCACATGTCTTTTAAGAAGAATTTCACAATTTAGAAACACTGCCACTGAATGTCTTAATTTTGTAAAAACATGACTAAATAATTCAAATATATAGTGATTTAAATTATGGTGATTAAAAAATCATATCCTGGCTGAAACAATCTTTACGTTTTCTATGAATGTGAGAGAAAGGACAAAAAGCCCAGTGAGTAATTAAGTCATACTGATCCGGACATGTCTTGATGAAGTACACTGGTGAGACATGGTTAGCAGACGTGATCAGAGCTAGATATACAGTCATTCTTCTGATTCTGTTAATGACAGCTAATTATTAGGACTCAAAGTAACAACAATTACTAAGCTGAGTGCTAAGTCTTTCCCACATTATTTTACATTCCTACAGTACACATACATTATTTTTAAAAACTAAATTAGAGGAGGACTTTTACCTGGTGGTAACCCCCCTAGTCTTTGCTGGATCCTTTCTAAATGGTGAATATATTCTGTCAAAGAATGTTCTGGATCTTCAGAAGCAGTCAGGGATCTTTCTGATCTTGAATTTGGAGATGGACTGGACCTTCATACAAACAAACCCAGAAACAAACAACAAAAGAGTTGAACACAATAGATGGTGAATGCAGTGAGCACACAGAAAATGGTGCTGGGTCCTCGGAATGGACACCCTGTGGAAATAAGATAAACAAGACGGCTCTTTCCTTTGTATCTTTTCATTACCACAAAAGAAAAAAGGCTTTTTAAAAAGTGGTACATGGTGTTTAGAAAACCAACTTCTATATAATGTCTCAGAGTTACAATGAGTAAAAACTATTATACAATATTTTATTCACTAAATCTTTGTGGATTATGTATCTGCACCCTAAGGATCCATCCCTGCACCCTGAACATCGACATGTGTATGTTGGCTGCCCTTTTACCAGGTCTTCCACTGGGACTACGGAAGTCCATTGTGTCACTCCTCATGTTCTCTTCAGGGCAGGCAATATGTCTTACAGAGAAAAGGCCTTGGCCACCATTTGTTCTCTCCATAAATATTACCAACTAGGGCACTACAGCCATCAGGCAGAATCCCTGCCCTCCCCAAATAAAGCAGGGCTCTAAAGCCCTCAGGGATTCACAGTGGTGCATTCCCTGCCTTGCTCTGGGGCCCAGCTAAAGCCAAACTTTCTAAATACGTTTCTTTGAGGAACCACATACGCTGGTGAGACATGGTTAGCAGAGGTGATCAGAGCTAGATGTACAGTGGTGCCTGACGCTTATGTATCTTGTTTCTCCTATCAGGATGGTACTCCAGAATTCCTTACCTCATAAAATGCAACTTAAAGAGAGATGTCATTGTCAACCAGAGACACAGGGCAAAAAAGGAAATGAGAGCATTTACCTCCTGCTAGCTAACAGCACAGGGAATGATTGGTTTTATTCCGACAGAAGTAGAACGTGCCCATTTTAGAACAGAGAAAAGCACACCCAGAGAGAAAGGAGAGGACACACCTACACAATTCTTAAATACCCACAAAAACACAAACTGAACTTTTCTATACACTTTGAGGATATGTTTCAAATATTAGAAAAGTCACAACTGAAACAAATAAATGAATCTAGAATTCCACATTCTAGCATTTGAATGGGATTATTATTTTAATAGGATTATTTGCATGGTTAAACCTGAAGAAATGAAAACATAAATCCCATCCTTCATAAGTAACACTTGGACGAGAAATCTCATGGTCAGGAAAGTAGGGTATAAACTGTGATAACCCCCTGATGAGTCAGCAGCATAGGCTGGGGCTTAGAAAAGCTGGGAAATCTCAGGGGTTGTCAGTGACTGGCTTTGAGGCAGGGTCATTCCTTCTACTTTACAGGGAACCAAACAAGAGATCTGAAATAAACATCCCACACACACAGCTTCAGGCAGACCCAACCTCTGGGCTCCATAGGCTCCACCTGCTTTATTACTAGGGGCTCTGTCTTACCAAGGTCAGGGAACTAGCAAGGTCAGACTCACATGTCTGGCTTAGTGGCAGAAAAACACACCCACCATCTTCCTTGAAGTCCGAATGGCACCAACCCCTAAATGAAGCTCCAGTGGCCCCATCCTTCCGATTCTGCCAGAGGCTCTATCAAAGAGTAAGCCTTTTCAGTGACAAGACTGGCAGCTGGCCAGCAGGTAGAAGTGGACCCCAGGGTGCCTTGGAACATTTGCTGATCCTCCTCTGGGCCCTGTACTGGTAAAAGGAGCCTTGGAGCACAACTTGGTCATTTCTGTGCACAGCCAAGCCCAGAGGAGGCAGTTACAAACTGTAGATTGCTTGTACTTGCAGACAGGTTGCCAAAAGCCAGTCGTGGACAGTATTTGACACTGGCTTGCATTAGAGAACCTGCTAGGAGGCCTGAAACCTGCACACCAAGTGGCCAGCTTCAGACAGCATCAAAGCAGGATCCAACAAGCTTCACATTTTTCTTTTCTTATTTTTTATTTTCCTTTTCTATTTTTTCTGTTGTTGCTTTTTTTTCTTCACACTTTTCCTTTATATTTCTCATTTCTCTCTTTCCTTTTCAAATTCTATTTTCTTTCTTTTTTCTTACACTTTTTTCCATTTTCCTATTCCTAATCTTTATTTTTTTCTTCTTTTCTTTCATGTTTTCCTTTCTTTTTTCTTCTCCTATTCTGTTTGTTACTTATTACTCTCTTTTCCTACTCTTTGTGTTGTTCATTTGTTCTATTTTGTTTTGTCTTGTCTTCTTCTGTTAGCACCTATAAAACAGCTTGTATGACGTGGTTGAAGTTGAGCCTCACGGTCTTGCCAGACTGTGGGTCGATCCCACTCACAAAAGGTCCAACAAAAACCAATACCCTATTACAACAAGAGGGTTCATATAACCCACACCACAGCCATTCCTAGAGCATCCCGCTCAGGAGATCGAAAAGATTGTACCACAGGGTCCCACAGGACACCTACTGCATAAAGCCTGGAGTCATAGCAGATCTACCTAATATATAGAACCAAACACAAAAAGACAACCAACATGGGGAAACAAAGAAACATCAACCAAATGAAAGAACAAGAGTCACTCCAGAAAATGAGCTAAATGAAATGGAAGCAAGCAATTTATCAGAGATAGAGTTCAATGTAATGCTTATAAAGGTGCTCAAGGAACATAGTACAAACTACAACAGCATGAAAAAGTAAATAGAAACCATGAATAGGAACCAGTCAGAAATGAAAAATACCATATCTAACATCAAGAATACACTAAAAGGAATTAAAAGTAGGTTGGAAGAAGCAGAGGATAGAATCAGTGATTTGGAAGACAAAGCAGAAAAATCACACAATCACCTGAAACACCAATCAGAAAGAATATGTGCACCCCTATGATCATAGCAGCGTTATTTACAATAGCTAAGATATGGAACCAGCCCAAGTGCCCTTCAGTAGATGAGTACATAAAAAAGCTATGGTATATTTACAAAATGGGATACTTTGTAACTATAAAAAAGAAGGATCTCTTACGCTTTGTAACAGCATGGATAAACATAGAAAGAATTATGCTTCCTAAAATAAGACAGTCAGAGAAAGACAAATATCACATGATCTTACTTATATGTAGAATCTAATGAACAAAATAGGTCCAGAGGCATGGAAGCATGAAACACACTGACAGATCTCAAAAGGGAGAGGGCTGGAGGAACAGAAACAGATTGACCAAAGAACTTATATGCATACACGCAGCATTGCACAAGGACACAGACAAGTGTGGTGAATCCTTGGGGTGGGGTGGGGCTGGATGGAGGGGAGAAGTGGCGGTAAAAGAGGGGACACCTGTAATAATGTCAACAATAAAAAATTAACTTTAAAAAAGAAAAAGAATCTACAGCCCTGGCCAGTGTTTCTCAGTGGTTAGAGCTTTGGCCCACACACCACAGGGTCCTGGGTTCAATCCCTGGCAAGGCACATACGTGAGGTGCAGGTTTGAAGCACAAGCAGGAGGCAACCGATCGATGTGTCTCTCACATCAATGTTACTCTTTCCCTCCCTTCCCCTCTCTCTAAGAAAGCAATGAAAAAATAACCTCAGTGAGGATTAACAAAAAATAACATAAGAAAACACAATCTAAAACTAAAAAATAATTTAAAAGAATGAGGACAGTTTAAGGGAAATTTTGGACAATATAAAATGTAATAACATCTGCATCATAGGGGTTCCAGAAGAAGAAAGTGAGCAAAGGGATAGAGACCCTCTTTGAAGAAATAATGACAGATACCTTCCCTAACCTGGTGAAGAAAAAAGTCACAACAGTTCAGCACACAGAGTCCCAATCAAGATGAACCCCACCCTGGCGAGTTTGGCTCAGCGGTTAGAGCACTGGCCTACAGTCCAGAGGGACCCGGGTTCGGTTCCCACTAAGGGCACATACCTCAGTTGCAGTTTGTCCCCAGCCCTGGTTGGGTTGTGTGGGTGGCAACCACTCGATGTGTCCCTTTCATGTCAATGTTTCTCTCTCTCTCTCTCGCTCTCGCTTTCTCTCTTCCTCCCATTCTATCTGAACAAGAAATGAAAAAAATGTCCTCAGGTGTGGATTAAAAAAAAAGATGAACCCCAAGCCTCTTCCTGAAAGCGGCAGAGGTGACCTCTGAAAATGGTTCGCTATTCACTTGACCCAGAAAACCCCACAAAATCATGCAAGTCAAGAGGTTCAAATCTTCCTGTTCACTTTAAGAACACTCGGGAAACTGCCCAGGCCATCAAAGGTATGCATCTTCAAAAAGCCACCAAGTATCTGAAGGATGTCACTTTACAGAAGCAATGTGTGCCTTTCCGTCATTACAATGGTAGAGTTGGTAGGTGTGCCCAGGTGAAACAGTGGGGCTGGACACAGGTCAGTGGCCCAAAAAGAGTGCTGAGTTTTTGCTGCACAAACTTAAAAATGCAGAGAGCAATGCTAAACTTAAGGGTTTAGATGCAGATTCTCTGGTTATTGAACACATCCAGGTAAACAATGCTCCCAAGATACGCCGTAGAACTTACAAAGCTCATGGGTGGATTAACCCATACATGAGCTCTCCCTGTCACATTGAGATGATCCTCACTGAGAAAGAGCAGATTGTTCCTAAACCAGAAGAGGAGGTTGCACAAAAGAAAAAGATATCCCAGAAGAAACTGAAGAAACAAAAACTTATGGCCCGGGAATAAATTCAGCATAAAATAAAGACTAATGAATGTTAAAAAAAAAAAAAAGGATGAACCAAGAGACCCACACCAAGACACATCATAATTAAAATGGCAAAGGTTAAAGACAAAGAATCTTTTTTTTAACCCTCACAAGAGAAGATGCTTAGAAAGAGGAAGAAAGAGAAAAAAGGAGACAGAAAAACATCGATGTGAGAGAGAAACATCAATTAGTTAATTGGTTGCCTTTCGCATGCTCCTCGACTGAGGATCAAACACACAAACACAAGCATGTGACCTGACTGCTAATCAAACCAGCAATCCTTTAGTGTACAAAATGATGCTCAACCAACTTAGCCACTCCAGCTGGGCCAAAGAGAGATTCTTAAAG